TTTGCCAAAGTGGTCTCCTGTTTCGGAGTGATCTTCTATTATGGGGTGGTCTTCTATTCTGAGAAGAGATTTACATATCTTTCTTTTGACGAAAGGATGAAGTCGCTATCTGTCAGGGAAGCCGAGATATTGCAAAATAAAAAAAGTGTTAAACTTTTGAACAGCACTGTATATATAAAAATTAAACCGGTCCTGAAGGGGTCAAACATTAATCGATAATGAAGCTTTCAAATCTATGGAGTCAATAAGCATAGATGTATGTAGTTAAAACAAGTACTAAGTTATGCCTATTGCAATATGCCTATTGCAATAGGCATAACCCTCTCATGAGACCCTCCATGTACCGTATTTCGGTAATACCGTATAAAAACTCGTAAATTAATGATTTTTTTTGTCACATTTACGCCTAAATTTTTCGTAGGGTAAGCTTTTGTGAAACTTTCGAAAGGCATTGATACCAGTAGTAGACATTATCGTCGGTATGTATCACACAATACGTTCCCAACATCTACCTTGCCTGTTGGTAGAAAAATAATTGTTAAAAAAGTTCAACTCTTGTGATTTTTTTCAGGTAAAGAGGTAAAGCGTTAAACAAAGAAAGACAGTTGCTTGAACTACATCGAGTGGAGATTTCTTTGTTCTTTTGCGGTATAGACAAGAAGAGAAGATGCAAAGGAAAATTTACATGTTCCAAAACTTTCTTTTGAAGAAACGTTCCTCGAAATTCGATCATAATTAAATTTCAAATGCATCATCTTATGCAGTTTTTGATCACTAAATCTATCACTAAACTCTACGATATGTGAAAATATCGTTAAGTTTCAACTTATTTTGGCGGAGTTAGGCAGAAAACAGTATTTTCCTAAAAAACGGAAAAAACGCATCTTCAGTATTTCGTTTTTCCTAAGTAAGAGATTTTCGACAAAAAAATTCAAATGGCAATGCCTCGATAGAGGATTTCAAGAACTATCTACTGACAAAAACATTTTTGGCTTTCGATCCTGTCTTCGTACTCAAAACCCCCTTTCACGGAGAAGGACCGAAAATTTCGGAAAAACTTAGATTTCTAACTCAGAACTAAATATTATTCAAATGTATTATACATCAAAAGATAGAGCATCAAAAACTGCATAAGACGACGCATTTGAAATTTGATTATGATCGAATTTTGAGGGACATTTCTTCAAAAGAAAGTTTTGGAAAACACGGCTTATTCCGATTTTTGACGTTTTAATGACGGTTTAAAGCGTCACTGGTCCCGAAAGGGTTGATGGTGTTTTGCGTTTAAATTCTTTTCGTCTTGATCAAAATAAATAAAAAAATGCTACGATTTATTGTAAATGTTGATAATAAATAGATTAAATTTTAATATTGACTTCTTTTACAAAAATTTCGTATTTTTCAGAGAGGAGCCTTAAATTTTATTGAGGCTATGCACTCCACATCTAATAGTCATGATATCAGTTGCTCTGTTGACCGAGTCAATCTTTCCTTATGACTCTAATAAAATTTAATCGAGATACCCTTGAATTTCTCTTCAAGACTCGATAAAATACTTGAATACAGTATTTACGCTCCTTCTATGGCAATAAACCGTTATTACCAATAACGACAACTCAATAAGCGATAAACATTACGCGAAAGATTGAAAAATCGCCTTGTTTCGAAAAAAATCGAAAAAACCTAAAATAATGTCCTATACCTGTTTTCAAAAAACTTTTGCCAAAGTGGTCTCCTGTTTCGGAGTGATCTTCTATTATGGGGTGGTCTTCTATTCTGAGAAGAGATTTACATATCTTTCTTTTGACGAAAGGATCACTCCTGTTTCGGAGTGATCTTCTGTTATGGGGTGGATTAGGAAATTAGCATTAGATATAGGAAATACATTCTAAACAGGAAAAACAAGAAACAGAGACGCGGTGAGGTAGTGTGACAGTAAAAGGGTGAAGTAGAAAAGTTCTAAATAAAGAATAAAACCTAAATTAAAAAGATCAGTACTTCAGTCATCTTATTTTCACCTCTAGATTGCACATCTGGAATGACAAACTTGTTATACAAAAATGAAAAGTCGATTAATCTACGATAAAGTGACCTATGTATATTCTAGAATATCGATTCCTCTTTAATCTTAGTGGATAATATTTGTCTTGAGAGCACATTTTCATTTTTTAATAACAGAAAAACAAGAAACAGAGACGCAGTGAGGTAGTATAAGAGTAAAAGAATGAAGTAGAAAAGAAGTAAAGTAGCAAATAAAAGAGTAGGGAGTTTTGAAATGTTCTCTTAATAGTATAATAACTGACAAAAGAGAATTGATGTAATAAAAATAAGAAGCACACAGCGTCTTGTATCGAATGGCAACATCATCGCCAATAGACCCTGATTCGAAATGTTATTGGTTGTCCGATTGTCGAGGTAAACATCAACAAAAAGATTGTCCTGTTCGACACAAAGATGGTAAACTTGGAATATATTATAGTGCCGATGGCGTGTTGAAAATGTGGGGCCTAGATATACGTAGCGGTAAAGTTTAATAAATAAACTATCATTCTACTCGCCATAATAGCACGAAAAATGTTACGTATTGGTTTTGAAAAATATTGTTCCGTGTTCAGAAAATTAATTGATTTGAAACAGGTAGCAAAAAACAAGGCATTTCGCTTGTATTTTCCAATTTTCATTGTTATAGTCGCATTTTTCTGCAAAATCAATGTCATATTTGGAATCAGCATAAAAAACTGAACTGATTGTTATGTGTTTCAGAACTTTTGGACAACTCTCATTTTTCCGCAAAAATCTCGGTCTGAAAATTCCAAGTTTATTATGGGCATATGTCGAGCAGTTTACTAACGATAATAATACTTTCGTTGGGTTTGGTGACCAAACCAAACCCAAAGTGTTTGGAATTACAAACCCCAAATCCCAAATCTTCGCCAAACCCAAACCCACTAAACACAAATCCGACTCAAATCCAAACTATTTGGGTACAGAAGCCAAATATGGCTTTGGGTTTGGTGTATCCCTACACGTTCTATTAGATCATCTAAATCGTAATCACGTGATTACGATTTAGATGATCCAATAGAACGTGTTAGGCAAAAACTAATATTATTAGCAACAATGATAGCTGAAGCCATTAGAGTAAGATTTAAAACTACATCACCAATTTTTGTACGGTGGGCATTGATATTTATTTAAAATTGATCGAATAACACCACGACTTAACAATAATCGAACAATCTCATAATTACCAGGAACAGGAAAAAATACTAAATTAGCCATAAAATGACATGTTGAATCCGAATTTTAAGATTATTTCGGATTCAATATTTATGAGCAACTGAGAATTTTGACGGAATTTATAGAAAACCGCCACAAGAAAAAACACGTGGCTAAAGTCAATACCTTGCGGCTTTTGTAGCACTACTCGAGTAGTGTGTGAGCTAACAAGATCTCGAAGAACTGATGTGTAGTTTTCGAGGGAGAAGACCAGGACGGGCCAAACTAGGTCTGGGGGCTACGCTTACCATGAAGACGTAAAAACTGCTAAAGACTTCATTATTGCGTCATACGAACAAACTTGCAGCCGCTTTCATTTGAATATAAACAAAGAAAGAGAAAATCTCATTTGCGGATAGAAATATGCAACTTTGTATGCTCTTTCAAGCTAGCAGTATGAGAGTGTTAGTGTTAGGTAAGGTCGGATTCCGCTGTTCTGACACCCCTAAAAACGCTTCAATTCAGAAACTATGGCCGATGAAAAACCGTGTTCGGAATAATTTTTCTATGCGGCGACAGTTGAGTGAGCATGGTTCCAAAATAGGTAAAACCTCTGAATGGATTCGGATTTTGAAAACCCCAATTTTGAAAATTTTAGATGTTTAGAAAAGCAGAGAAAGAATTGTAAAAGTAATAAAGCAGAGTTTTTCTGTCCCGAAGTTAAAAATAATTTGTATCACTGTGATGAAAGATCGTGAAGAGTGGGAGTTCTCATTTTGTAGAGAACACTTCACTCTATCATGAACCATCTTTGATCTGAAAGGGAAAATTTTTTGAAATGGTCCGCTTTACTGTAGTGAAAATAATTGACCACTAATCACTTTCAGCAGTTAGTTTTTTGTCTTCAAACTTAATGTCGATCGCAGAATATGCTCATCCATTGTGCATATAACGGTCTCAAAGACCGTTATATGTCGTACAATACACTGTGTAAACTCATGCGTACGTAGGTGCTCACTGTCAACAAGCTGTTAAGAATTGTATACCTGTCATTAGCAGCGGGTGAGAATCGAGATGTTGAGATAAGTTATGTTTATTTTTCACGAAGGCAGAGTATCACAGAAAAGTATAAAGAACTTGTGGCATCTGTGGATACGGTATGATAGCCTGAAAGTGATTGTATCATTGAAAAGTTCGTCTGAAGGGTGCTAACTAGCTAATTTTTATGTCTTTTCAGGACGATTATTACGCTGAGCAAATTGATCATTATTACGAGCAGCAAATATGAAGATTACAACTACGTCGAAAACTATTAAATAACCAATTTTCAAGTCGAGATCGTATCGAAGCATTGCTTGTAATAATAAGTATGGTCATCTATGACAGAGATGCAACCGGTCAACAAAATCATAACCGGTACCGGCCGGTCACCGGCTACCGGTGAACATATGCAGACCGGACCGGACCGACCGGTTGACCGGTCATTCTTATAAAAATTTTGACCGGTAGGCAACCGGTACTGACGTTTGAGTGTGAGAGAAATGTTTAAATCTGTGTGATATGTTAGCAAATAAAATCAGATAGATTAAAGTGTTTGCTAGGATAGGCAGAAATGTCTACATCACTACGTCTTTTGCATTTCTTCTTTTCTTTTGGAATAAAGAATTTGCTTTATATGTTGTTAGGCGGATCAAATCATAATCAAGATAATATCGCTGTAGATAATCATCAGTCCATAAATCAGTTGTACATGCAACATTTTTTTCTTGAAGCGGCTTTTGAAGCACATTTTTATACATTGCTTTTACCTAAAACATAAATTTATATCAATAGCATAGCACTGCTATGATAGCAGAGACTGAAACGGGACGGATCAATTCGCGTAACATTACAAAAAAAATTGGACATTGAAACTGATATATTCAAACTTTTGGTTCGGTTCTTAGTATCATTGATGGCAGCAGATGCTTGGATTTTTCTCTCAGTTCTTGATGATATCAAAAGGAGGGCAAGAAAATTGCATACCTGTTCAAATTTTCTCTGACAAAAACCACTAATTGTAGTTCTTCCGTAAAAAATTTCATTTACATTCATACGATCATAAGCACTTCCAATATCTATACATAATTGGCATAATTCTAATAAACCAGTCTTTTCTATTGAACTAAAACTATGCAATCCACCAACAACAAATTTTAGTTGTGCATCTTTTATTTTTTCTTGCATTTTTGCTGGCAAATGTTTTTTATTACACATAAATCTACTAATTGATGGTGATGTGTTATTTGATCCACTACGTTTTTTGCATGTTCTTACATGATTTTGTGCTGATGTTGTGCCATAATTAACACGTCTTCCATCTGCTTTTTTAGCTGAATGACTTTGGTAGACCTCTTTACAATAACGACATGCTACATATCCTTCCAAGACTTCAACTTCTGTTGTTAGCATTGCGAGCTCAGCATTCTCATTATTCTCATTATTCATTCCAATTAAACATATATCATTCCAAAATTCTGCTGTACCTTGATTATTTCTAATCAACACATAATCACCATTTTCAAGTTTTCTTTTTATTTCAACAGATTTTATATGATCAGCATCGATATATTTTAGCATTTTTGAAAATGTTGTGTACAATAATTTGCTGTATGAATAAACAGTGAGTTTATACGAAATTTATATAATATTATGTTATATAAACGCGACAGGATAACTGATGAGAAAATAGAATGACTGGAAAACAATGTCAGAAGAAACTTATCTTGAAAGATTGCTTGTTTATTCTTCTAGATGCACGTGTATTCACATATATACTATTAGAGTTCATAGCAAAAGAGTTTCGTGATGTTTTTTGCGTTCTGTTTACTAGGCCTGTAGCAACAAATGTAAATGTTAAAACTTTGGTCAAAAAAGAGACATTTTACATTTAAAATGTTTCTTTTATCAGCTGCGCCAGAACAGAATTCTGTTCTGGCGCAGCTGATAAAAGAAACATTTTAAATGTAAAATGTCTCTTTTTTGACCAAAGTTTTAACATTTACATTTGTTGCTACTGGCCTACTGTTGAAGAAATTACATGTCTTTTTCTCT